TATATATATATATATATAATCATACAATAAAACAGGGATGTACAAATCCCAGGAGCTCCGTGTGCTCCTTAAAAATGGCAGCTGCCTCCTAACTTTTGATTTTTTTTCTCTAGTCTAGTCTTGGAGCTGGAAAAGTATCTGTACTTGTACCGTGTACTGTACTTGGTATCTGAGAATCCCTAGTAAATATTATAGTGTGCATAGTTTGGGCACAGGTTCACTTGAACAGTCTGGGCAACATTCTAATTGTGAGTCAAGCCCTTGCCTCAAGGTGCATTACACACATGTGCTGACATTGATTCAGTCCACATGATTGTGCGTGATCCATGATTATTAATATTCCCACAAGTAATTGCAAATATGCATGTTGACATTGGGTGAACATACGTGCTTTTCTTATGGAGAGGGGAGGGAGAGCACTCCATTAATTCTCCTGGCCTATCTTGAGGGAGAGGACAATAGCAATCGGGCAGGAAAAATTTCGAACACACTACCTAAAAAGTGGTTTTGGCTAATGTGTATTGATGCATTTAGAACAGAGTAAACGGAGGTGGCAGTTGATTCGTGGCACAGAATACAAGTCCGGTTTGTAGAGTAAAAGTATAATGAAGGAAAGTGGCAACAAGTTGTAAAGTCAGCAAGAGTTCTGAGAAATGTACCACAAGTCACATTTGCATTATAGGTGCAGGTTTTATAGGGTAAGAACTTATTATAGAGTCATAGATTGTTATATTGTCCATGGTATCTTTTATTTGGCTTATAGTGGTTTGCAGGCCATAGAACTTTGAGAGCAAGTGATCATGTCTATATTTACTGATATTATTCCCCATATTCATGTAATTCCAGCAAATTATGCAGCAGTTTGCAATATACATAGAGTGCTATATACATCAGCAAAGTATGGAACATCACTTCAATAAAAGGCCAAGTATTTTAGCCATCCACAAATAAAAGCTTCATATACGCTTCGAACAACATGGTCATGACTAAGAACTTTTTGTTAAAAACGCAAAGGACTCTTATGGTGCTTTTATCTGTGGATGGATATAATAAACTTGGATTGTTATTGGAGTGATCTGATGTTCTCGTGTTCCATAGTTAGCCACTGGGGTCACTTGAGGCCAGATTTGTTCTCCCTTGGACCTGCAATCGTCCTAATATGCTGACGCATGGTATATATTTTTATTACATACAATTTACATCAGACTGTGCCCCAAAGGAGGGAACAATTTATTGTCTGGACTACAGCCATACAAAACTTAAACATCTCTGGAGTAAACCTACACAGACATGTGGAGGCCACCGTACAGGGCGCTTGTCCAAAATGTATTATTCTGGCATTGATTTCATTACTCCATCACCAGCATGTTTTGAGACATGGTCATCTTGGAGAATATGGCCAACAAGAAATACTACATTAATGTTGGTTAAAACTGCTTTGTAGGCAAATCTTGTGCAGTGTTTGTTCCATTGATATTATATATCTCCAGATATAACAGGGCCGGTCATAATAACCATATTGTCTTGTAAAAATGAGAGATCAGAGGAACACACAGCCTATAAACACTCAGAAAGAGGTTCCAAAACCAGTTTTGTGCATCCAAGGATTACCTGATTTACAGCCTCCTTCCTTTGGAGGCCTCAGAAGAGCAATATTGGAACGAAAACACAAATGCATCTTTATTAAGGCAAAAAACAGTGTTAAAGTGCAGCAATCCATAGAAACCAAACATTAGTCTATTTTTAAATCTTTTTCTGATCTAATAAGCCAGCAAATAAAGCGCCCTGCCAGCATGGACTCATAATAACTTTTGGGTTGGCTGACTCTTCAAAAAAGCTTGAATACCAAGTTGGTTGCATCAACACAAACATTGGCGACTAGGTAAACATATGTCAAAACGTAGGTATTAGGTACACATCACATGTGCAGGCATGGCTAAACCTGCACACGCTTTGGTGGTTGTTGCACTGCAAATCCCAGCTTATCTGCAGGAATGTACAGCTCTCCAAATGGCAGAAGGTACCCAGCCTTTTGTGTAGATAGCTGCTGCGTATGGCAGCTTGATCATTGTTCTTTTCATCTTTTATGGTGGTGGTTCTGTTATCGTGCGTCAATCAGTTGTTATTAAAGATGTACAATCATTGTTTCCTTTAAAAAAATTATTTTATTTTCATCCATTACTGCCAACAGTATTCGGTCAACGTGGTCATGCGTTTTGTCTTTTTTGTTCCGCGCACCATCTGTTTACATTTTAACTCACCACTGAATCTTTTCTCAGAGATTGGAACAGTGAACTCTGTTAACATTGAAACACTGTTGTCATGCATTGTACAATGTACTCGGAGGAACACTTTTCTAGCTCACAGTTATTTAGTATACAATGGATCAAAGTCTTGCATAATATCTGTAGCACACCTTGAAGCCTAATTACTTCCTTCTCTACTTCCAACTAGGCACATGAGGGAATTTTTTTGAATAATGGGTAGATTAGCCAGCTAGGGATGTAGGAATTTAAATTGGAAATATCTTGCACTTGGGGATTGCATGTTGCCTAAACATCATTCACAGATTCATTCAGAAGGTTTATAATGTTCATTATTGTGGTCATTGAATGGTTGCACCCTCTTGAATATTCTCAGTGTTTCTTGGGACCACTTCTGTGTGTTTCTTGAGGACTCCAGCAGCGAGACCTCCCCTCCATATTTATTGGCTCTATTATTACTCATCTTAAATTCCATTCTACCTGGTACATTCTCCAAAATAAAATTAAACACATTTAACTATCAAACTGGGACCCCTCATAATTGTCATGGCAGATGTGCAGACAAGTCAAGCACAGGGTCTTCAGAACCGAATACAAAAGACACCGGTGGGTGATTTATCTGCCCTGCCCTAATATCTTCCCAATAATGGAATATCACAGGGGTCTTGTCCTTGAGCTCTCAGGCGTTACAGAGACATTACGCTTTGAATTGAGATTTCATCTACAGTGCTACCTGCCGGTGACATTTTGTGTTGAGATTCAACCACAGAATGCCATGGTTATATTTTGATTGATATTGCAGTACTGGTGGTCTTTACTGGTTTGTTTTTGTTTTTTAACACATGGGTTTGTGAGTTTTAAGGTATGGGCCTGTTATATTTCTACATGAAGCAGTCAAAGTTGGATAGAAGATTTTGGCTTTCTTGGTGGTTTTATTTTTTACTCTAACTCTATTGGCTGTAAGAAATGAATGCACCTTTCCATTGCTGGAGGTTGTCTGTGCATGATTCAACAATATCAAGCAATGTGGCCAGTCCAAGTTATACTTTAGTGATTATTGAACTATGTAGGAGTGCACTGTTTGGCTGGGTGAGGGATCTTTTCTGTGTGGTTGTCCTGTGCCAAGGACTGAAAAAAGGAAGAAAAAAAATCAAGTGTCTATTCAAAATTTAGGTGTCTCTATGTGAGGTCTTGCACTAAAAACAAAACATGGCTGAAAACTGTTGGGCTCATTTTGCTCATCACATTGGAAGGTATAGACACCAGCACTAATGTTTTAAGGGTGTCGGGTACTGGCAATTCAAGCTGCTGGAACGTTAGTTTGATGCAATTGCCATTCAGCACCCTGTTAACAGATATTGGTCTTCTTACGTTTACAGGTAAATGTTAAAGCAAACCTATCATAATAAAAGATTGATGGTCTACAATTTCTGCCCTCCTCCTGACTGCCTGGTTTTAATACTTTGGTTCATTGTCCTGAAATTAATATGCAGATCAGTAAAGTGAAAAAGAAAAGTCAAAAACTTTATACAGGGGTACGGGTAATATACAGGGGTACAGGTAATATACAGGGGTACGGGTAATATACAGGGGTACGGGTAATATACAGGGGTACAGGTAATATACAGGGGTACAGGTAATATACAGGGGTACAGGTACTCCTAGAATGAGATCCTAATAGGTTGGACTTGATGGACTAATGTCTTTATTCAACCTCAAATACTATGTAACTATGTAAGTTTGCATACTTGTACCAGGTCAGTGGCCCAAAGTTGAAGCCAAAGAGCCAAGTATGACAGCCAGATAGCAAGCCTTTCACGTGGAGAGGTCAGCAATGGCACCCGAAGTGTTTATTTAATGACAGGTTTACTTTAAATATATTTAGTCATTGTGTACGTATATATTAACTTCTAATTTGTTTTCCTTTGTTTACAGTTCAAAAGAATGCTCAACCGGGAGCTCACCCACCTATCAGAAATGAGCCGGTCCGGCAACCAAGTTTCCGAATATATTTCAAACACCTTTTTAGGTAAGCGAGTTGTCTATTCTTCCTCTCTCCCCGCCTCCATTTAATTTTCCTAATGCTCACTTGCCTGCCAGAAGATTACAGCAAGCTTACTTGTTTATCACTGTCTTTTATAGATGTCATCTTGTTACATAAGAGGGACAGCCCCATATGTCATAAGCAGAGGAAACTTTACCATACAGTGTCTTTGTTTCCACCCTAATTGGTCTCTCTGCAGTCCTCTATGTGCTGCTGTGTTTGAGAGTTGCTGTGTTAGGATAAGGACATAGTGTATTGTGCGTCAGCCTCACACATTAACTCCTTCTTCTCTAGAGCCTTGCAGTGCATTTATAACAATGCTTTTTTATATATTATGATTCATATAAATATTTTATTATTCTTGTTATTCCAATCAGTGGCGTTCTTCCTCTCAGTCTTATAAAGAGCAATCCTAGTCAAATAAAACAAAAAACAGTCAGCCACTGAATTGCTAGTGTGAACTTTACAGCTGTGCTAAAGTCAGAACTTCAACTCCATTTACCTTATTCTGCAATGAAAGCCATATTTAGCAGTTTCTCCAGGGTTTTATGGCGGGGTGTCAAGTGTTCATGATTGCCTGTGGTGAAATCTCCCCCTTATCTTCTTAGACCAGATTTATCTCAGAGTGAGGGAGGTCCAGGAAGCAGGGAACACGCCAGCATTTTTGCAGGCTCAGATTTATGGCCATTCAGAATATGAAATGATGTTTAAGATAGCTGTAAGAATTTAGCAGGGCAGAAACAGAATTTATACCATTTGGCACACAGCATGTGTTCTCTTAGGCTGGTTACAGATCTCTTCTAAAGAATGACATTGAAGAGACATTTGCCAATTTTCTAACAGTATAACAGACCCATTGGTTGAATTATGTGACATGCCTGAGAAATCAGAGCACATTTTATCTGCCAATTTCTTTCTTCTCATCAGTAGGAAGAGGGGAAATATTGGCTCCGTTGCACAGAGCTTGCGTCACACTTTGGAAAATCTCTTCGAGCTATAATGAACCATTCCAATGCACAATGAGCTCATCATTGACCCCCAGTATGGTGCTAAACAGCCTAGTTGAGGATTGCAATAATCTGTCAGAGTTGGTCAATTATTGTCCAAACTTATACTAAATGCAAAGCTTCATGTGTCTCAGAAAAGGTTGCTGTTGGCTAAACAAAGGGTGGTAGAATCTAATAAGTAGCTGTTATTCAGGCCAACAAATGTATGCTATGGTTAGATTTGTGCTAATTTTTGCATTGTGTTATGTACTGTATAGGAGGCTACATTTGAAAACAATTTTGTATGATACCTTGCTGCTGAGCCAGGTAGCTTCACTGAGGCCCCATTCACACTAAGCCACATACCTTTTGCTGCAGATCCGCGCGGCCGGGATAGCGAGACTTTCGGGGCGACGGTAGCGCGACCCTCACCGTCGGGCTCCATTAAAAAAATAGAAAAATAGCGCAAAATCCGCCGGAAAAAGGGTCCTGCTGGAGCGCCGGGCAACATGGAGCTAAGACGGCTCCATTGAATAGCATTGGCCAGCGACTTCTCGCGATATCGCACGGCAAAAATGCACGATATCGCGGCGGGAAATCGCGCGATAAACCGCTTAGTGGGAATGGGGCCTTAAGGTGTAACACAAGGGTGGGCAAACTCCAGCCCCCCAGCTGTTGTGGAACTACAATTCCCATGAGGCATTGCAAGAGTCTCACAGCCACAGGCATGACCCCTAGAGACAGGCATTATGGGATTTGTAGTTTCACCTCAGCTGGAGGGCCAGAGTTTGCCCTCAGTTGGTGTAGCATGTTCACTTAGTCCAGTGAAGCCAAGTTCACTTGGAAGTGAATCATGAGCAGAAAAAATAGGAATTGCCCTTGCATGTTTTTTTAATCTGTGAACTGAACATGGCTTCAGTTTGCTCTTTCAGTAAACTGGTTTCAAAGGAACCTTTCTGTGTTAATACTGTATGTAGACAGGCCCCAACCTAGGTAGAGGTGGAAAAAGGCTGTGTTATTGGGCAAGCAAGAAAGTAAACAAGTGATACCCAGCAATATCGCTGTAAGGGTTAAGGGGTTTGCAGGATTTCTGAAGCGAATAGCTTTAATGTGCAGAGCATGCTGGGATGTCATGTAGGCAGGTAGAAATGCAATGAAGCATTGGCATCCCCTGCCCTTAGGAGGGAGATTTGATAAATACGACACTGTCAACATCTGAGCGCAGAAAATACCGAGTTCAAACAGCCGCAGGGGAGGGGGTGGAATCCCCCTGCAATATCAGCGTCAGCTCGGAAATCTCTCCCAAGATGGGATTGAAACCCTCAAGGAGACTTCAATGTGATTTCCTTATATTTTCTTCCCTATAATATGTCAAATGACAACACCTATTATATGGAAGAAAATGTTTCATCAGTTAGTTTGTCTAAAACAGTTCCAAGTATATATCACAATAACATGCTGTATTTCTCTAGGTATATTTTCTAAATGTGTTGCTAGGGTAACAGAATATATATAACGGGGGGATATTTTCAAAATCATATCACCATAACATTAATTAATATGAGATCATATACACTTACAAACAGCCTTTACCCGCTTACTGTCCCTCCTCCTTAGTTATCACTTTTTTTCCTCCCTCTCTTCATTCATTTTGCCCCTTTTTGTCTTCCTCCTTGCCTTCCTATCTTCCTTCCTTCCTCTGTCTCTTCCTATATTACTCTCTATTCCTTTCTTCCTCCCTCTCTCCCTTCCTTTCCTCCATCCTTCATATTTTCCTCCCTCCCTTTCTTCCTATCATCGTCCCTTCCTCCCTCTCCTTCCATCTTCCTATCATCGTCCCTTCCTCCCTCTCCTTCCATCTTCCTATCATCGTCCCTTCCTCCCTCTCCTTCCATCTTCCTCTCTCCGTTCCTATCTTCTTCCTTCCCTCAGTTCCTTTCTATCTTTCTTACTCCCTTTCTTCCTATCTGCTTTCCTCCCTCCCTTTCACCCCTCCTATCTTACTAACTTCCTTCCTACCTTCCTCCATCCCTTTCAACCTTTCTGTTTGTTTGTCTCTCTCCCTCCCTTCCTTCCTTCCTTTTCACTCTCCCTCCCTCCATTTCCCTCTTCATAACTTACTTCCTTCTACACCTCACTCCCTTCATTCCTCTCTTAATTACTTCTGTCCTTCCTCTCTCTCTCCCAATTCTTCTCCACCTTCCCTCCCCTTTTCCTTTTCTTTCGTACACTTTTTCTTCAGTTTTGATTTAAGTGAAAATTCAAAAATGGCTTGGCCAGCTGATTTGAAAAATGTTCCGGAGGGCTTGGCAGCGAAAGGGTTAATAACATTATCAATGGCTGCCACTTTTTAGCCCAAGGAGTGTGGCCAATCCCTGAACACTAATATAGTCACTGTTTTTCATGAGCATATTGGGTGTCTGGACACTTGATATCAATATGCCTGTTTCAGGTCAGTAACTCACTGGTTAGTGAAGCCAAGATCCAGTACATAAGCCTACAAGCCTTGGAGCTTGTACTTTTAGAAGGAAGTCTGCAATGGCAGCCCTCATGTTTCTGTGCCTTTTTGGAAGATTATATTCATTGTTATAATATTACTAATGGTCCAGTGCACAAAGAGGCTGCTCTGTCTTGAACTGATAACGCCACAGAGCATCGTGACCTATCATGTTTTAGTTCTCTCTAGGTAACATTAAACTCACACCAAATAATCTATTCAGTGAATGAAGCTTCCGATTGAGAACAATTGTGTTTCCATGAATGAAAGTGATATGGCTTTGTGTGATTTCTGTCCAGCTCTCATCCTGAGCCAGTCAGATTTAT